TTTCTTTTTTTTTTTTTTAAAGAGATTTTTGCTATCGGGAGTATGCAGTCACCAGAGAGAAAAAGAGACAGAAAGCGAGAAATCACCCCCCCAGAAGGAGTGACTATGCCGCAATCCCTTCTCCTCCATTCTCCCCTTGGGGTTTTGGGCATGCATGCATTGGTGCCTGGAATGAGTTTTAGGCTGCGGGGTCCGGGACTCGAACTATGATCAACTACATGGGAGTCCTGCGACTAACCCCTATGCCGTCTGCTGGTCCCGTGGTTCTCCTTGACCTCCTTCTCCAACTCTCATCTCTGCAACCTCCCACTCTCAGTCTAACCTGACTGTGTGTGCCCTGTAGCCGGCTCTAACCACATCCGCCAGACTAATTACTCCCACTTCCGTCCACCCGCCACTCTCCCTCCGCTCCCAGAACTCCAAGCAAAGACTTGCTGGTGGATCTGGCAGGAGGCATGGTGGTTAAGGGTGCTGGATTCCCACATAGCTGAGTGGGGTTCAAGTCTTGGATCTGGTGGCTTGCTCTCTCTCTCTCTTTCTCTCTCTCTCTGTCCTTGTTCCTCTCTGATGAAATTTAAATAAATAATGAGTAAGAAATAAATAATGAGTCAAGTTAAATCAAAAAAAATTAAAACTTTAAAAAAATATTTTTAAAATGTACCTTTGTTTATGACTATTATAATTATTATTTAAATTTGATGGAGGGGGGTGAGAAAGCAAGCTCCCGGGACCGGGACTCAAACCACGGTCCACCATGTGGTTTGAGTCCAGCACCTTTAACCACCATGCCATCTGCCGGGCCCAAGTTAAATAAGATCTCTCTTTAAAAATATTTGTTTAATTTTATTTATACGTTCACTTTAAAAAAAATTTAACCAGAGCGAAACACACACACACACAGAAAATGAGAAAGCAAGCGAACCGCCGACGACTACATGGGATTCCAGCGACATAGCCATTACGCCCACTGCTGGTCCCCCCCTTTTTTTTAAAGAGAGAGTTTCTTTTTCTTTGCTTTTCTTTCTTTTTTTTTTTTTTAAAGAGATTTTTGCTATCGGGAGTATGCAGTCACCAGAGAGAAAAAGAGACAGAAAGCGAGAAATA